TGCCAGGGGGGTGTGCTGGAAGATAAGCACGTGACCCCGTGTGTATACAGTTAAGGACCCCGTCTTCCAGTAACGCTCATCACCGCAGTGAAGGTTCTGTGGCCATCCAGGTAACGTCATGAAGCTTCTAGAAGGAGTGTGAACAGAGAGAGGCTGGGGGAATGGAGCAAAGGGAGGTCACACCGTGCTTGTTTCCCTGAGATGAGGCGAGCCATATTTGTAGGCAGGTCTGCAAAGCTTTCCCGAGGGTGGTTGGTTAGTGCTGGACCTAGCGGGGTGGTCATTACAGGGGCTGCCTTCTCAGGCACGTGAGTGAGTAGGTGTGTGATCAGGGAGGTGTGGAGTGAGCGGCTTGCAGCCTGGGGTGGTTTACTTATGATCTGGTATGTTTGTCAGGCTGGAGCGATAGCATAGTGGTAGGGCGTTTGCCTTGCACACAGCCAACATGGCCGACCCGAGTTCGATTCCTCTGCCCCTCTCAGAGAACCCGGCAAGCTACCGAGACTATCTCGCCCGCACGGCAGAGCCTGGCAAGCTCCCCGTGACATACTCGATATGCCAAACACAGTAACAACAAGTCTTATGATGGAGACGTTACTGAGCCCGCTCGAGCAAATCGAACAACGGGAGGGCCTTTACTTTTACTTTATGTTTGTCAGGTGATTCTAGGGGCTGGAGCGATAGCACAGCGGGAAGGGCATTTGTCTTGCACACAACCGACTCGGGTTCGATTCCCAGCATCCCATAGGATTCCCTGAGCACCAGTAGGAGTGATTCCCAAGTGCAGAGCCAGGAGTAACCCCTGTGCATTGCTGGGTGTGTCCCAAAAAGCAAAAAAAAAAAAAAAAAAAAACCCCAGGGGACTCCAAGGAGTCTCTGGTTTTATGTTGGATGTGGCAGTGGGCAGGGAATGTGGGTCTTGCATCTCTCCTTTGCCCACCTGACGTGTCCTCACAGCGCCAACATCAAAGGCATTGCCTGTGCTCTCCCTGTCCCCTCTACTTGCCCCCCAGTCACCCCTTTCTGTGACACCCATCTCATCCCTAAAAGAAGGCAACCCAGGGCTCTGGCTGGGTCTGCATCTCTGCCCCTGGACCAGAACCCTCCCCAGGACGATGCTCTCCAGCAGCTTGTGACTTTGCTCCTCCAATGCCACATTTCTGGGGGGGGGGGGGGGGGGGAATGCTAGTTGGGAATCAGGTGTCACATTTTTAAGTGAAAAATGGGCATGCACAATGTATTTCATGATTTTGAGAATGGACAGGTAGTCCTGACTGCACCTGAACTCCCTTGGTGTGGGGACAGGGGACAGGGGATGTGGCGGGGACAGAGGACGAGGGACGTGGACAGTTGCCTGTCTGCATCCCTGCTCACTCCCACCCTCTGTGGACCAGTCCATGCTGAGGCCAGACTCGCCCCTCCCCGGTCCCTTCTTTGTAATCTGCCGCCTCAACTCTTCGAATCTCCCAAACGCATCTGGAGACAAACTCGCCACCTCAGGTTTCCGCTGAGAAACGGCCGGCGTGGGTCTGATTAACTCATCCTGTTGGCTCTCAGGCCCGCACTCCCTGCTTTGTTCCACAGCACAAGTATGTCAGCGGGTGCCACCAATGCTCACGAGACAGTGGCGTGACACCCTATTAGCTCTGGCCATCAAGTTTCTGCGGGTCTATGGCCTATTTGCTGAGTTTTCGAAGCATTTTACAAGCATCATTAACCTTATCATGTCCAATAATTGCAGAAAGGGACGCGCAGGACTGCAATCGGAAGGACTTCAGCGTCAGCGGCCGAGCCCAGCGGAACAACTTTTGCGGGAGGACGGATGCGGTGAGTGCTCGCTCGTGGATGGTTTGACTTCAGATAAATCGTTGTTTTTTTTTTTTTGTCCACCAGGGAAAGAGTCTCACCCCCCACCTCCCTGCTCCCACCCCCCACCCCCACCCCCACCCCCATCCCCATCCCCATGGGACTTCAAACCATAGATCATAGGGGAATGGGCGTTCACACCTGCCTCCTCACCAATGAGCCAGGGCACATAATTAATTGACCAGAAGGCTCACTGGGATTAATTAGCAGCTGCATGCGACGAGCTCCGTTCAGACTTGTAGCGGCAGAGGATGGCCTTCTGCAGTAGCCAGATCCGGGATGCACAATTAAGGCACGGCAGGGGGAAGAAACTCATCAACTGGGCTAGAACTTTGGCTTCAGTGAGGCAGTCCGGGGTGTGCGTGGGTGCGCGCGCGCGCGCCTCCCGCCGCGGCCAGCAGAGGGCAGCAGTGCGCTGTGCCTGGTCCTATTTGCATCCCAGATGAGCCAATCCCTGGGGAGGTGGGGTTGGGGGAGGGGGAGGTGGGGGGCGTTCAGTACCTCCAAAGGTGTCCCGGGACCACCCTGACGCCTTTGCTCTGGGCTGAGTCACGCATGCACCGTCGTTTTGGTTTTCTTTTTTTTTTTTTTTTTTGGCTTAAGGTGGGATTTGGGCTCATCTGTTTTAGAGAAATGAATACACAACCAGGGGCTGCCGTCACAGACAGGAAGTAACTTTAATTAAATACTGTGAAAGTTGAAAAGTTTTTACAGCTTGACTTTTTTTTGCCAAAAAAAAAATTATAACAATCTCTACAGTAGTTAGGTTCTCTAACAATTGAACTGTACAGTGTGTGTCTATTCAAAAACGTTTGATAAGAAGGTGAAAGCTTAATAGATTGAGATGACTTTAAGCTGCACCCTAAGAAACCGAGGGCTGGCCACACCGCCCAGTCGCCCAGTAGCTCTATGGTTTTTTCCCCCAAACCTGAAATCTCAATTGAATTCTCACTTCATTTTGATTTTTCCTTAATAATTAAAGCCATATTCTGTATTTGGTGGGGGCGGGGGGGGGGTGAACATCTTGGACGGGTCAATATTTTGTGTAGAAGAGAGAGAGGCTGGTCAGTGTCTTTTTTTTTTTAACTCATCAATATAAATAGAAGCAACGAAACACAAATCATACACATTTTAAAGGCTCTTTGGGCTTCCAAGAAAAGTTCGAACCACTACACATGCTGATAGCTTGAGTGTCCTGTGTTGTCTGGGCATGCGCCGGACCCCTCACCGGCTGACCGTTCCTTCACCAACAGTTAAGGGGATCACGACAAAATATGGCTTTAAATTGTATACATATCTTCAGGCAGCGTTCCCACACCGATTCAGACAACCTTTCCGAGTACCGAGAAGCAACGCGTCCATCTTGCTTACATTTTCCAGTTTTTATTGTTATTATTATTAATCATCATTATTATTATGTCCAACCATGAAAAATCAGCTTTTCCTCCCCGCCGGTCCCTCCCTCGGCTCCCCTCCCCCTCCCGCCCCAACCCATAAAAATTCTCACTCTTGACAGTCTAGTGAAAACCATTGCAAAATTCATATGGGGACATGCACAGTGCAGCATTGTTGTAAATTTCTTGCTCTGCTAGAAAAAGTTACATTGTCTTAAGGTAACAAAACAGTTCTTTTGTGCTTTTCGATTTCTTTGTTTTTTTTTTCTTCTTTTTTTTCTTTTCTTTTTTTTCTTAGAATGTTATTGATGACTGACAGTTCTGGTGCACAGTTACAATGTACAAGTGAAATGAATATGATTTGCATTGTTAAGGCATCCAATCTGCTGGTTTATATTTATGTGAAAGACAGAGGAAATATACAAGCAGACTTAAGAAAGAAAGTATGTTCATTGATTTCTATGAAGTTTCTCCCCCGAAATTTAATGCACAAAATGCGTCACTCCAAAGGGAGAGATCCCATGCATATTAATAGAGTAAAACAGCATTAGGGGTTTTTTTTGTAAGCTTCCAAAGCAAAGGATACATTTTTTTTTTAATCTACAGAACTAAATGCTACAAGAATAATATGCTACTATTTTTTTTTTTGCCATATACTGGAAAAAACTCCTTAACTTACAAATAATACAAAAATAGACAATGGCTTTTGGGTGGAAATTTAAAAAAAAATTGAAGCATGGTTTAAAACAATACTAAAAATAACTATAAATGAAATGTTTAAAAATCACATTGAAACAGCTAATACAACTGTAAGTGGACAAACAAATCCGCACTTTCACATAGCAAACATACACAATAAAATAAACTGGGGTTGGAGGAAAAGGAAGAAGGGAGAAAGCAATGTACAAATTCCAAAGATAAATACATTATTTATATGGATATTTTACAAAATCCTCTTTAAAACAAAAAGCCTTTTATTTAACTTTGCAAGTATGTGCAAGCTAAAGGTAGTGAGCTTTTTTTTTAATCCTTCGCAAAAAATGCAGTAAAATCTTTTTGTGGTATTGAAAAACTGTTTTAAGACATAAAATGTATAAATAGAACAACAACTTTGGCAAAAAAAAATCACAAAAAATCTACAGTATTTATAACTACATACAAAAACACAACAGCAAAGGAAAAAAATATATATCAGGCAAATGCATCCTCAGAGCCTTGCTGTATCTTCACTAATTCTTATTTTTAAGAACACTTCCCAGTTAATAATCAGGGCCCAAACTCCCATAAAACCGAAACGTAGATTGTGGAGGTCTCCACCTTCTTCGCCTTGCTCCCTGTTCACTATAATTCGCAATTCCAAAGCACTTAACCTGTCCGTTCGTTCGCTCTCTTCCGTGAGGAGGGTCGGGGTCAGCCCGGACAGGTACCAGCTCCTGTGGGAAACTGCATTGCTGGGTGAGCCTCAGGAGGGGCCATTGCAATGAGGAACCTTGGCATGTGGGTGGGGTTTGGCCAGGTCAAGGGGAGGGCATTCTGGGGGGAGTTCTGGGCCTGGACCATGCCCTTGTCCACGCCCCCTCCACCACCCCCGGCCCCCTGCCATGTCAAAGGAGCATCTCAAGCCGGGATGTGGGCCTCCAAGCTCTCGCGAGGCTTCCAGGGTTGACAGAAGTAGGAGAGAGTGGTCTGGGGTTTAGTCTAGATCTAGAGGCACTGGAGTCTGGAGTCAGGGTGAGGGGAAGGTGATCATTCTCTCGCCTTCCTGGAACTTTCCAGGCTGCCCTGATGACTTAAGACAGGGAGGTAAGTGCGAGAGGCGCTTGCAGGCCAGGGGGGGCATGTCAGATATTGGAAATGCACGGTCTGAGCTAACTACCATGGGAAATGCTTTAAGGCGCAAAAGCCGACCCTTTTAGTTTTCTAGAAAAAATCTAACTGGCATTCCTATTCTGTCCCATACAAGCTTTTTTTTTCTCGAACTTTTTAAACTTTTTCCTTTTTTAACCATTTTTTTTGTAAATATCACCACTTCATTCTCCCTTTACACAGCTTTGAAAACATCATAAATTAAAACACGGAGTCTTATTTATAGTGTCCCTTGTATACAGCTTTACGGTTTATAAAAGACAAATGATTGTGGAGTTTTAAGCTTTAAAAAAAAAAGAAAGAAAGAAAGATTTGCTTTTATCGACACAGAATAAATATATTCCCCCACCCCCCTCAAAAAAAAAAAAAAAGCCTGGGAGGTCCAACTTTCACCATCACCCTGCGCTTGTAGACCCCTTCCGATTTCAGTATTTGCAAGGTCGGTGATGTTGTTTGTTTAAAAATCTGCAGTTACTGTGACTCTCTTTAAAAGGCCTGAGTTTAAAAGTTCCACGCTGGGACTTGTATCAGATTACTCTCTGTGGCAGAATCCAACTTCTTCATTAATAAAAGTTTCTTCAAGGCAATTTTCACATGGGAGGAACAATCATGCCAGAAATAGCTGCAGAGAGAAGAGAAGACAGAGAGGCATCAGTGGTCCAGCCTCCAAGGGATGCGAACCAGGCGGCAGAAAAAAAGATGCTTGGGCAAAGGTGCTCGCCCCGACTTCTGGCAGGGAGCTAGGTGCTCGCCAGGCCCCTCCCCCGAAGCAATCGCCATCAGCCCCCACGTGCGTGCGTGTGGCAGGCGCAGAGTTTGGGTACTGCCGGGCCAGTCACCAAACCTTGCAGGATGGCGAGGATTTCCCCGTGGTGGCTCTTTATTTCTCCCTCCTGCTCCATTTCCAAGCGATAAAATAGAACAGCGCCACCCGATGGCCAGCAGCTCTTACAGAGCACCAGAGGCCTGGGGGGAAGCCGTCAGGGGCCCTGGGGCCTGGGGTGGGGGTGGAGGACCCAGGCTTTGCCCCACTGGCAGGCTGTCTCTCCGGCCTCCCCGTCACTCTGAGGTTCTGTGCTGACCCCTCAAAAATGGGCACGTCCCTTGGGCTGGAGTGATAGCACAGCGGGGAGGGCGTTTGCCTTGCACGCGGCCGACCTGAGTTCGATCCCCAACATCCCATATGGTCCCCTGAGCACCACAGGAAATTCAAGTGTAACCCAAAAGGCAAAAAAAAAAAAAAAGGCACGTCCCTGGCAAAGAAAAAGCTGGAAGCATATGCCATGTAAGGGTGGGGGGTGCAGGGAAATTGATTTTGGGGTGATCCAAAATGTTTGTGCTTGGGGCTGGAGAAATAGCACAGTGGGTAGGGCGATTGCCTTGCACGCGGCCGACCCGGGTTCAATTCCCAGCATCCCATATGGTCCCCTGAGCACCACCAGGAGTAATTCCTGAGTGCAGAGCCAGGAGGAACCCCTGTGCATCGCCAGGTGTGACCCAAAAAGCAAAAAAAAATGTTTGTGCTTGAAGCCCACCAGCAACCCAACCCCCCTCTGCCGGAACCGTCTCTTTGGTGACAGACTGGGAGACAATGGCCGTTGCAAGGGGGCTGTGGGACATGACCCAGGGGGACCCGATTCTCACTGTGTCCCCAGCACCAAGAACCCTCTTGGACAGGGCCTACTCTTCTTCCCAGCCCCAAGCTCTGGGAGAAGGTGCCTTTGGGGCTTTTATTTATTTTTTGTCTGTTTCTTCAATCCTCCCAATTCCCCCTAATCCTGTATAGCAGGCCCCCTGAGGGGGGCTAGGGGAGACCCCCGGCCTCTCCTGCTCTCCCTCCTTTGCCCCTGACTTTTTTTTAAGGAATTAAAAAAATAGTATTTCGCCCAACACTTTTTCCGTTAATTTTTAAACCCATCTGTATTCACAAGGAAATTTAATCCACATGTTTCTGATTCATTTACACGTAAATCATCTGAATGTTGTTTTGCAAGAACCGGATTTTTTTTTTTCACAGCCCCAAAGCTCCTGGAGTTTTTTAATTTTTTTTTTCTAAAGCCTTCCTAAGCCATTTTTCTTAGAAGCAGGAAATATCTCTTGCCAAAAGCAGACCAATTTAAGCCCCCCAAAGATCAGGGGCCACTTGGACGTGAAGCCTTCTCCCTCCCTCCCCCACCCCTAAGATGTGTACATCCCACCCAGCCCCCTAGCAGTGGGGAGGGGACAAAAACCCAGCCAGAGACGCCTCTCGGCAGCCAAGCCCCGCACCCAGATGGCCAGAAGTGTCCCCTCAGCCAGGGTCTCTGTGCCCTGGTGCCTTGGTCGCGGGGCCTACAGCAGGGCTCGACTGAGGGGTCCCTATGGGGAGTGGGGGGCAGGGGAGAGGCAGGCCAGCTTCACAGCCGCCGCTGGGGCACGCCTGGGGGTGGAGGGACAGGAGCTGTTTTCCTTCTCTCTGTGCTGCAATGCATGAGGTTGCTTATGTGGGTAAGAGGCAAGGGTGCCGGAATGTTCCAGAAGGGCTTGCTGGCACTCGGACTTGCCCATAGGGACTTGCTGGCTCTCAGCAGATTTCCATGACGGCCCCGTGGGTGGGTGGGTGCCAAGACGTCACGAGGTCAGCGTCCCTGTACCGTCCAGCACCCACGTTTGGTGAGGCCAGGGACTGAGGCGCGGGTGGGGGAGGAGAGGGCGGTATTGCTGTGACCAAGGCGCTGGGCAGGGCAGGGGGGCTTCAGCCAGTCCGGCTGGGGGAGGGTATTAGCAGGGAGCCAGCCCCTGCTGCGTGCCTTCCAGCCTGGGCTGGTGTGGCTATGTGCCCGCCCAGCAGGGCGGGACACAGGCAGGGGACAGCCTCCCCTTGATGATGTCCTCTGGGACCTGGGACAGCAGCGGGACCCTCCATGCCCAGGGCTGAACTGCCCAGGCCACCCTGGGCGGTGATCCGGGCAGACCCTCATGGAACAGTCTGGGGTCGGCGCTGCCAAGGGCTTATCTAGGGTAGGAACAGGCCGTGTGTTAGAGCGCCTTCTTTTAATTCGAAAGGCCTTTCCCCAAAGTCTCCGGGGACGTTACTTGGCCTGGAGCCTGCCGAGATGGGTTCTGGGGGTGGATCAGTGGTGAGGAAGAGGGGGAGGGGGGTCTCTCTCTCTCTGGAGCCGCTGGTGAGACTCTCCCACGGAGGGAAGTGGACATTGAAGGGGGAGGGGCATGGGCGTGCAGACGCCAGACGCCTGCACCCTGGGGCACCCTACAACTCAAGGTGACCACATAAAAGGAAGTCAAAGGTCACTATAAATATCTAAGTCTTGGTGCTTTAATTAGCATCATAGCACTGTCCACCTGTTCATTGATTTGCTCGAGTGGGCATCAGGAATGTCTCCATTGTGAGACTTGTTGCTACCGGTTTTGGCATATCGAATACGCCATTCGGGGAGCTTGCCAGGCTCTGCCATGAGGGTGGGATACTCTCGGTAGCTTGCCGGGCTCTCCAAGAGGGGTGAAGGAATCAAACCCGGGTCGGCCGCGTGCAAGGCAAATGCCCTACCCACTGTGTTATCACTTCAGCCTGCTTTAATTTAGCACTGTATAGCACTGTCCTCCCGTTGATCAACTTGTTCGAGCGGGCCCTTAGTAACATCTGCATTGTGAGACTTGTTGCTACTGTTTTTGGCATATGGAATATGCCCCGGGGAGCTTGGCCAGGCTCTGCCGTGCAGGAGGGATATTCTCGGTAGCTTGCTGGGCTCTCCAAGAGGGATGGAGGAATCGAATCCAGGTCGGCCACATGCAAGGCAAACACCCTACCTGCTGTGCTATCACTCCAGCCTGCTTTAATTAAAAAAAAAAAAAAGTTGACTAGTCTTATCCTTTGTCAGCGTGGGGTGTTGAGTTTGGGGTGAAGGGGAGGCCAGTTTCAGGGTGAGGCCCCAACAGGGATGTTGGGTACCCATTCCGCTCCTTGCACCCATCTAAGGGAGGAGGGACAGAGAGAGAGACGGGTTTTCAAGAGGGCTTAGAGGAATCCCAGAGAGGAAAGGGGTCAGCCGGCACCAGAGGAGGGCGCAGACAGGTTCTAGAGCAGAGACTGTTAGATGCTGGGGTCCTGAGTAGGAGGAAGAAGCCGCCCTGCACGCCCCTGCTGTTTTGCTTTCCCTCTCTCCCTTTAGAGCCCATGTCCCCTCCTGGCCCCCTCCCTAGTGGCAGAGAGAGGATGACAGGCCAAGTGTGCAGAAAGCAGCCCTCAAGTCCAGGTTCCAGGTGGGCTCCAGGACCCGGGGGGGCAGGACCTACCTTGCAGGCTGTTCCCATTGGTGCTGGTACAAGTGGGCGGCGGGGAGGTCTGGGGTCTGACCACAGGCGCGAAGGCGCTCTTCTGCTTCACGGCTGAGACCATGTTGGCTGGTGAGAAGGAGAAGATGCCGGTGGAGCTGCTGCAGTTGGACGGGAGGCTCGTGGAGGAGGCCATGGTGGGGCTGGAGGGCACAACTGGCAAAGGCAAGGGGGCAGGTCAGCGCGGCTGGGCAAACCCCCCTCCCACCCCTGCAGGGATGCTCCGTGTCCCCAGCGGCCTCCTGCGTGTGCACTGCGGTGGGTGGGGCCGGGAAAGAGATGCGCCCCCCTGAGAACTGGCACCAGGAGGAGGGAGGCACAAAGGAACAGAGAGGGGAGGGAGAGAGAGACGGGGGAGGAGGAGAGACAGAAAGGGGGGGGAGGGAGAAAGAAAGAAAAGGGGAGAGAGAGAGACAGAGGAGAGAGAGGAACAGAAAGGAGAAAGCAAGAGGAGAGACTGAGAGCAAGGGGGAGAGACAGAAAGAGGGTGGGACAGCATCCAAAAGGAGAGAGAGAACAAGAGGGAATGCCCTGCCACAGAGGCAGGGTGGGATGGGGGGTGGGGGGATGGGGGCGGGAGGGATACTGGGATCATTGGTGGTGGAGAATGGGCACTGGTAGAGGGATGGGTGTTCGATCATTGTGTAACTGAAACCCAAGCACAAAATTTGTAAGTCTTCAACTGTACCTCATGGTGTTTCACTAACAAAAATAAAAAAAAGAGGGTGGGAGAGAAGAAAATTGGCTGCCACAGAGGCAGGCGGGGTTGGGGGTGGGGGTATCCGGGGACACTGGTGGTGGGAAATGTCCACTTGTGAAGGGACGGGTGTTGGCACATCGTATGACTGCAACCCCATCATGAACAACTTTGTGACTGTGTAGGTTCATGATGATTCCATTTTAAACCATTAAGAAGAAGAAATGGCATAGCACCAAATAGGGGCGAAGGGAAGCCAGCTTCTGTGGGGGAAGGGAAACCAAGGGAGACTTCTTGGAGGAGGTATCAGGAAAGCATTCCAGCCGGAGCCTTAGGCTCCAGCTAAGAGAGGAAAAGTCAGTGGAGGCCCCTCTAGAGGACGAGGGCTGGGCGCTCTCCTTGACCCCTCAGCCTGCCTGCGCGCTCATTCTGACAAACCTGGCAGTTTTTGGAGGCAGATTTCACACAACATCTGCTGCATTCAAGGGCAAAAGTTTCAGAGCCTCTCCTGTCTCCTGGGGGAGAAGGGAGGAACCCCTCCCTGTGTTTTGCAGTGCTTTAAATCCAGTCCTGGGCATGCCCTATTATTTTCCACATTATTATTGTTAGCACTGTCCTCCCGTTCTTCATCGATTTGCTCGAGCAGGCACCAGTAACGTCTCACAACAAATTGTGAAACTTCTTGTTACTGTTCTTGGCACATTGAATACGCCACGGGTAGCTTGCCAGGCTTTGCCATGCGGGCGAGATACTCTCGGTAGCTTTCCGGGCTCTCCAAAAGGGGCAGAGGAATCAAACCCGGGTCGGCCATGTCGGCGGCATGCAAGGCAAATGCCTTACCCACTGTGCTATCAATATTATTATTATTATTTTGCTTTTTGGGTCACACCTGGTGATGCTCAGGGGTTCCTCCTGGCTCTGCACTCAGGAATTACTCCTGGCGGTGCTCAGGGGACCCTATGGGATGCTGGGAATCGAACCTGGGTTGACCACATGCAAGGCAAACACCCTACCCACTGTGCTATCACTCCAGCCTCATACATTTTTCTTTTTACGTTGTAACATGAACTGTGGCTTTATCCTTCACAGGAATCTTGGGGTCTCCCTCATCTCCGAGTCGTGGATAAAGCACAAACCTCTTACTTCGCTTGTGGCCCCTAAGCTGCCTGGGATACTCACGCCAACATCCCTCTGAAGCCTTCACAGTGCTCCCTGGGAAAGGGGTGTTGGGTGTGGCATGAAAGCCCCCCACCCCGGGGTCTTTGCCCTAGACCTCCACATTGGCATGGGACTGAGTATCCTGGGGTTTTCGCAAACTATACTTTTTCTTTTAATGAGACCTGCATTTTTATCCATCTCTTAGGATTTGTAAATGGAAAAAGTGCGCTCAATAATAGCACCCATTTAAATTGCAAAACTCCTGCACTGGAGGTTTGATTTTTAAATATTCGTAGACTGGAAATCCTGCTGGTTCACCAAGGAAGGCAATTAATCTCCCTGGCAAATGCGATCATTATGTGTATTTAGGGGTGGGGGGTGTGCAGGGGGTGATGTCCAGAGGAGGGGCTGAAATACAGCCGGGTGGGCCCATTTGTTAGGACGTTATTAGTCGCCAGCCACCAGCTCGGAGAGGGTGCGCTCTTCCCTGGAAATGTCTTATTTTATATTTTTTTAAAATGCTGTTTGGAATTTTTCACCATGAGTGGGTTATGAATAATTAAGTATGACGGAGGCAAAAATTCAAATCAGCTGGGCTTTGTGCTTATTGTTTTATTTGCATTGAGGCAGATAAAACCGTCCCATCTGAGAGCCCGTTTGAGAATTTAATACTATATTTGTGAGCAAGGAGGAAATCAATTAATGGAAATTAAATGTTCGAAGTTTCGCGGTCTGACAGCTAACCGCCTCCGTCGGATCTGCGCGGGGGCCCGGAGCCGCGGCACAATCCCAGCCCCGAGATTGAGTTGCTACCATCTAGCAATTAGGTTATTGATTTAATTAAGCATGCCACCTTTTAATTTTCAGGTCATGATTGAAACATTCTCAGATGAAGGAGCTGGGAGAACAATGAACCGACAGATCTATGGAATTGACCTCTCCAGAAATCCAACTCGGAGACTCCCCCCAGATGAGGCAGGTTCTCGGTGGGATGGGGCTGGCTGGCGATTACTGGGGGGCGGGAGTCCTACGTGCCCTATTTGCTATAAATTCCAAACCAATAAAGGAGAGAAGCCCAAAACTTCTCGTCCACCGAGCATAAAATTTTTCACCCAAAAGTAAAAAGAGCCAGGAAGATCCTATTCGTCTTTCACAAGTCCACAACCACGATGCCGACTCACTCAAAACAAACCGAAAACAAAACAAAAGACTATTTTCAACACCACAGCACTGCCGTTCTCCCAAAGTCTGAGAGCTGAGCCCCCTTTTTTTACCCAGGGGACGGAGACATCCTTCCCTGGGTCCAAGCGGAAGTTGGTCATCTGTGAGGCGGACAGTGAGGGCAGCCCCTGAAATTCTTCCCACGCACACCCCCTCTCCAAGCGCCCCGAAACGGCGTTAAGGCCTGCTTGAGACCCTCTGAAAACTTTTTTTTCCCTCGTGGGCAAATATTTGTGAGTCTTTGGATCTTGTCAGGTCTGGGGGTGGGGTGGGGTCTGAGTTCTTGTCCAGTAGATCCCAAGTTTAGAGGGGAAAATAACCCCAGCACTGGGCAAACTGGGTGGGTTGCTGACATGGGGAGGGTGGGACAGGAAGCTTCTGTCCTCAGGATGGCCCCCAGATTGAATGATGTGACTTCTTGGGGGGTGAGAGGACAAGCCCCCATGCCTGATTTTATGGGGACCCCGTGTTCCTCACAAGGGGCAGTGATGTTTAAGTGCTCGGGAGAGTTGGAGGGGGGCAAGGCCTCTGTGGAGCTCAGGCTGGAACCCCCTGCTACCCCCCTACAGATACACAAGCAGAACATACATACGACACACACACACACACAGCCCCACTTACTGGCATAGGGCGAGTTGGCGGCAGAGCCGTTGAGGAAGGTCGGGGAGCCACCCAGGTTGGACATGGCCGCTGTGCCGTATCCGTTCATGCTCGTGGTCACCGAGCTGTAGTTGGACTGCTGGGGTGTGGTGCTGGGCACATAGCCGTGGGGGGACACGCTGCTGGAGTTACGGGTGAAACCTGGGGAGGCAACGGGGAGGAGAGAGGCATGAGCCAAGCTGAGGGCAGTGGGTCCTGGCAGGAAGAGGTGGCCGGGGCTGGTGTGTCCCCAGGAAGGAGCTGCAGAGGGTGGGGTAGGGTGGGGGTGATTCATGGGTGCCGGCAGCGGGGCCCACGTCGTGATTAAACTGGGAAGTAGCAAAAGGCGCCTCTCCAGGAGCTCGTAAATACTTGGCGGGGGCCCCCGAGAAGTGGCGGTGCTCAGCCTATAAATCATCATTTGGGAGCACCGATAAATCCGCAGAGCCGGGGATGTGCCGGGACTTCAGGGGGGCTCATTTCCTGGGTGGGGAGCCGTGCTTGGGTGCTCGGAACTTTCATTCCAGCCCTCTCTGCTGTCCGTCACTCATGGTTTATGATGGAGAGTGAAACGGGGCTGTGTGGGTGTGTGTGGTGGGGGGATGATGGAGAGGGTGTCCGCAGGCACCCATGCCCGGGACTCCAATTCCCTACAGTGGGGACTCAAATACCCACTAAAAACTTTTTTTTGGAGGCGACGGGGGCCACCCCCGGGGGTGCTCAGGGCTCCCTCCTGGTGGGTGGTACCTGGGGGAACCCCTCGGGGGGAGGGGCCAGGCCAGCACCTCTCACCCCCTGCTCTTGAAGTGCTTTTGCTGGCTTGCAGCACCCCGCCCCCAACCCCAGGACCCGGGCTGGGGGAGGAGCGGGTTGCTCACCCTGGTTGGTGGCCTGCGATGCCTCGGACACGTTGACGGCCAGCTGCCCGCTGAAGGAGTTGACGCCCATCATGCCCGCGTGTACCGACGTGTTAGTGAGCGCCGGGAGCTGGCTGTGGTTGCGGGGCACGCTGTACAGGGCCTCGGCGATGTCGGCCGCCCTCTTCAGGATGATCTCCTGCCGAGGGAGCCCCCCGCATCAGCCCTCCGTGTGCCAGCGGGGACCCCCACCTGAAGACACCCCTCCCCCAGAGCTAGCTTTGGGCAACAGCCCCTAGGCCCTCTCCAAGGCCCACAGACAGGGACTCTGGGGGTCTGTCCCCCCGCCCCCAGGCGTCAGGGCGTAGCTGATGACCCCCAGGGACGCACAGATAGTACCGGGGCTCGGACCCTCAGCTCCCTGAGCCCAAGAGGCGCAGTGGGGCCTAGACCTCGTGGAAGGAGGTGGCCCCGTGTCCCCCTCTCCCGCACTGCCTGAGCAGGAACAGGCCATGCCAAGGGGCTTCCAGGTGGGTCATTCTCCTTTTCATCACAGCAGGGACCGAGCGTGTCCGGGGGTGGTGGTGGGGTGGGGGGGAGGCTGTGGGCTGAACCCCGGCGCGCGCCTGCTCACCTGGTTGTTGTGCGGCATCCCGTACAGCGCCTCCACCAGGTCCGCGGCCCGCTTGAGGATCACTTCCTGGAAGAAAGCGGAGGTGGGGGAGGGGTGAGGCGGGCAGGGCGTTGCCAAGGTGGGTCCACCAAGGGGGCAGCTCTGGGAATCCTAGAATGGCATTAAATCCTCCACCCACACTCACGCATGCGCGCACGCACGCACGCACGCAAGCGCGCGCACACACGCTTCATCGAGTCCAAAGGTGAGCAAGTATCATTGGTCCAGCCAGATAAAACGTGTTTCTCTCCCCCTCCCATTCCCCCCTCACCCGTCGGCTGCCATAGGACGATAAAGCACTCATATGTTTATTACTGAGTACAACTGCGAGGTCATTTACCAGATTACTACAATCGATGTCGCCCGTGCGTGTTATGAATCCCTAAGATGTGTTTATTCTGCACTTAATTGCTTATTCCAGGAACCACGACCTTATCAGACGGGTCACTTTCCAGGGATCGCCAATCAATCTCCCGCAACTCAGAAGCAGGGCGCAGGCGACTTCTCTCCTTTCCGCCCCTGGCGTGGCAGAGCTGCCCTGGTGCGTGGGTGTGTATGGGGTGGAGGGAGGCGGTGTGCAGTAAACCCCCAAGCAGAGGCAGTCACTGTTGGTCTCAGCTCCCAAGAAAGGCATCTCCTGCCTTGGGAAGCTACAGGCCATTTCTTCCCTCACCACCCTTGGCCGTCTCAGTATTGTCTGCCAGTTCCCCTAAACGGGAACACGTCTCATTCATTGCCTCTCACCCGAGATCTAGGTGGCAGTCAGAGAAAATCTCTCCCGCCCCTCTGTGCCTGTGTGTGTGCCTCCCGCCCAGCTAGACACGCTTCCATTTTTAGCTTGCACACTTATTTCGAGCGATATAGGGCGCTCGGCAAAAACCTGTGTGTGGTGGGAATTGTCATTCTCACTGAAAGAAATCATTCCCTCTTCATCCCGCCCTAATTTATCTGCAGATCCGCTCGTATTGGAGTGGGACACATATCCTGCAGTCTAGTCTACAAACCACACAGATAACGGCGTGAAGGATCAGAGGTGATTTGCAAGAAGATATGTTTACAGTGGTTTTTTTTTTTTTTGGAGGCAGAGGGTGGGGAGACTGTGGATGAAAAGTTTCAAAAGGAAGCTTAACTTGAAATATTTTATACAATAGCTTTCTGCCCGAGCCATGGTGCTGTTCACTTTTCATACGCTGTAGACTCCGATCGGGGATATAATTGCATTCATTTTGCTGTCACCATGGCCTCTTCAAAAATCCTTGCACAACTCTTGAAATGACAAGCTTTTAGATCCATATTAGCATTTTTTCCCTTTTAAACTTGCTATACTATGAGATAACAGAGTTGTCATACTGCAGTCACCACTTATGACACACAAAATGCCCTAAATTCAAAGATGAGATCAAGGGGTTTTCAGTTCTTGATAAACATTTACACTTCCCTTAAGCTGCTAGACCCCATGTATAAAACATTTTTTTCCATAGATGTGGAAAAGCATTATGTAATCAATGGACTCAGGATCTGAAATACTTTTTTTGGGGGGTGGTCGTCACACCTGGCGATGCGTAGGGTTACTCCTGGCTCTGCACTCAGGAATTACCCCTGGCGGTACTCAGGGAACCATATGGGAGAATCGAACCTGGCTTGGCCGCGTGCAAGGCAAACGCCCTACCTGCTGTGCTATCACTGCAGCCCCTGAAATACTTTTTTTTAAAGTGTAAACTGCAAGGTAGTTTGGGATGTTTCCGTTTGCTCTGTGTTCTGGCCAGAGCAGGCAATAGACAGTGGAAACCCATTCACCGGGTGTTGCCAGCTCTAAGACCTCAATGCTTAACCCCTGGCTGTCAGGAAAGGTTAAAACAAACCAAGAATGTCAGAACTTCTTGACGAAGCTCTGACTTCCCGTGTTCACACCACTTCTGCAAAGAAACATTTATGCTGGCATCAGGGCCCAGTCGGGATGGTGAATTTCTCTCCCTTCCTTTTAGGAAACAAACAGAAGTCTCCTGTTTCTCCAGTGGCCAGCAGAGGTGCTGCTGGTGACTGCCCCGGTGGTCCTCGCTCTTGGGACACCCCCACACTGACTTAAGATGCATGCTTCCGGTTTTAAGGATAGGAGGGGGAAGAGAGACGCTGGGTACCAGCAAAAGTCCCATCGATCAGCGTGTCTGATGTTATTTGCGGCGATTAAGGTGTTCTGTGTCGTGACCCACCTGCTGCCTTCTTTCCTCATCCAATTCCTTATGCTCTCATCACCATGGAACGCTTTAAGAATAAAGGCGGTGGCCTTGCTTCCTAACATGGGACACTGCTCCCACCCCCCCTTCCACTTTGATCCAAGAACCAGCACATGCTCTCCATCCTTTTAAGGGCAGTGAGCTAGGATTTCTGGTTGAAAAATGCCCTTAAATGACACCCTCACCCCTTGAAAGCAGAAAAAGTAGTTCCGTGCTGTACCCGCTCTGCGGGCCTAAGGGACACCCCACACCTGGGCCGCTGGCCCATGTGTTTCTCTTGGTTATTTCACTGCAAACAGAAGGGAGAAAGGAAATTTCTGGCTCCTCTCTGAGTTAGCGGTGGACCTGCAAGGTGCTTGGATTTCGGTGACCAGAAAATTGCTCTCACCTCTGTGTCATTACGCTCCCCGTGAACTAGCCCCAAGCGTGTTTGTGTTGGGGATCTAATATATTGCCTTTCAATCAGAGCTGAGAGCCACTGAACACACAGACAGAACATGACGAGCGGGTCAGGAAAGCAATAAAGATTTTACAGAGCTGTCCAAGGTGCTAAATTTACTCAATAATGGGTTTGGCACCATAGTGTTAACCTCTCATTTACTACCAGTTTGAGGGACTAAATTGAAGTAGCCGACTTCATTTACCTTGAAATGTATATTTTATGACATTATGTAAGTAGATTGAAAGGGCACTGCAGTTTGAACAATTTAAAGGCTCAAGCATGTTTAAGATGAAACTTGAATATTTATTGTATATTGCACTTAAAGTATATAGAATGTTAAAATGTATTGATTAAATTTGTAAAAGGCATAATAAAAATGACAGGCCATATAAAAGATGGATGCCTTTTATCATCAAATTGATAGTGTATGCCATCTCTTTCGTGGTCACAAGTGTAATTTTTTTGCAGTTTTATATGGTAATTTGAAAAATCTGTAATTTCACATTAGGAAATGATTGAGTCTGGGATGTTAAGGGGGAAAAAAATTCCCATAAGGGAAAGAGCTGCTGTTTCGTATCATCTTTTGTCTCTAATAAAGTCGTCTTTCTGGGGGGAGTGATATTAGGAGTTGGCACCGTGTGAAGATCCTTTTATTTTAATACGCAACTTTAATTATTTCTGAAAAAAATAAAAAGAAACAGAATAGGACGAGCATTGAATTTTTCAGGCATTTGTCGGGAGAAATTTTTCTCTTGTATCGTTTTAAACATATCCCTGCTTGTAACTGAAAACACCAGGCTACAGATCAGGTTCTTCCCAGATAATTAATCGTATCTTGGATCAAAAAGAACAACAAAAAAAGGAAAAGCAATCCCATTGGAAAATTCAGACAAGCGCCAGGGTTCTAGCCGCCCAGAGCAAAAGCCTAGAGTCCTAACAGAGGAAGTATCTGTTCCCAGCCCTGACTCAGACAGTTTTCCTGCTTCTGGATTTTTCTCTTAAGGAAACAGGAGATGCCCACTCCATAAATGCAAAGGCACGTCCTTGCCCATCCCTCCCTTCACACTCGTCAAACCTGATTTTGCCAGCGATGACCACAAGAGCTAAGGTCTGAAAAGAAACGGGTGGGCACAACACCACAAGCCCACAGAAACCCTGGGGCACCAAAGGGGGGAGGGGACGGGGGGGGCCCAGACCCGGGGCCCTGCCATGGTCATGGGCTTGGATGCTGACGGTTAAGGTGACAGATGCACAGGGATCGAGCTTAGCTTTTCTTCCCAGGCCACGGCCAGATCAATGAGCCAATCACCGCTGATCTGATATTGTGCCAGGAGTTACACGGTCTCCCCAGAATTAAGGCCCTGTGGGGGAAGAGGGGCCAAGTTCCCCGTCTGTCTGGCCCACCCCCTGCTCACTGCTCGTCCCCCCTCCCTCCTGGTCCAGCTGCCTGCCTAGACATAAAACGCTGTGGTCCACAATCGCCTAGTTTTCAAGGTCTTCCTTCCCATCTTCCAAAGGTGCTGTCCCCTTATTTTTTTCAGGCAAGAAAAAAAAAATGAGCACACACTCCCCCCCTCCATGGAAATCTACTTTGAAATGACCAAACTAAAAGCACCTCCTCTCCTCCCCCACACTCACACAAACACACACTCATATACACTTACACAAGCATACACACAACACTCACACATATATGCTCTGAAGTCTGGTAAGGAAGTTCTGGGACAGCAACAGAAAGGAAAGCTGCCCTGACTAAGGGGGGGGCACAAACATTTTAGGGGGGCTGAGATGAGGCCACTGCAGCACCCCCAGGCCTGGGAATATGCACACGCACCATAGCACTGTCCTCCCATTGCTCATCGATCTGCTCGAGTGGCCACCAGTAACGTCTCCATTGTGAGACTTGTTACTGTGCTTGGCATATCGAATACGCCAAGGGGAGCTTGCCAGGCTCTGACGTGCAGGCGAGATAACTCTCAGTAGCTTGCCGGGCTCTCCGAGAGGGACGGAGGAATCAAACCCGGGTCGGCTGCGTGCAAGGCAAACGCCCTACCCACTGTGCTACCACTCCAGCCCAGGGAATCTGCATTCTGGAAAATCTGCTCTTTCCTGAGTGCTGAGGCCAGGTCCTCACCTCTCTTTCTCCCTCCCATCCCCCTGCCCGAGACTCCTGGCTGACCATGCCAGTCTCCCCCCTTCCTCTATTCTCCTCCAGCATGTGAGCCAGCCACAGGCCTGCAGAAATTCTTGTGAAAAAGCTGCTCCTTAGAGTGCCACTGACCTCTACAAGTGCGTGTGGGATTTACCTGAGGAAATGACAAAAAAAAAAAAAAAAGTCCATTTGCCCTGCA